ATATACTACAAAAGGTGGATCAATAAAGCGAAGAAGAAAGGAGGAATGGGAGACATTACACATACATGTAATGTACATGATATACATGTACATGTACGGCCATTCATACTTAGTTCCAATTCACATTCACTGGCATTCACATAAAAGCATTGCAAATATGCATACATGTAAATGTATACACTGCTTCTTATTTATAATTAATTACAAGTACAAGTACATGCGGTTACTTTTCTGGTTTGATTCTGTAAGTGTATGTAGGTGATATTAGCCAGTACTACACTCAGACTCCCTAATGATGACTGCTCCATTATGTATAGTGTAACCTCAGACCTGTAAACAACAACAAAAACAACAACAACAACAACAACAGTGAATAACTAAACAATCAATATTATTTCCAATCATCATGTAGGTATTATCACATAATAACAATAGAGTGTAGTCTCTATATAATGGATACTTGTGGGCAAGAAAGTGTCTCTGTTATACAGAGGTGTCCTTTATGTGGAGGTTATTTTATACAGTAAGGAATGTAATTGGTACACTAGGTGCTGTCCGTTAAATGGAGGTGTACGCTATAGAGAGTGTCCATTAAGAGAGGCTATACTATAATATAAATAATAATAATATAAACTTACATATTATCAGGTAGCGGTTTGATGCTGTCTATAATGACTTGTACTGAAGGATTAGCAATAATGTCTTGTAGCTTTTTAGTGAGTGAGTCTTGAGTTTGAAGGAGTTCAGTGTGTGGTTTGTTAAAGAGGAGTGTGACAAGACCATCTTCATTCCTAGCAGTAGGCAATCTACTGTAACATATGGTCTGGAGGAGAGAGAGAGAGAGAGAGGGAAAATAATGATTGTGTACAAATGTACATGTACTTTTAAATTATAATCTTTTATAATGAATAAATGTACATGTAGATAATAAATAATGTATTAATGATACAGGATTTGTACATCATTATACATATGACACACCCATTAATGATATTCATAGTTTTGTTGGTATGTGCATGCGACCCACGATAGCATGAACAGGTTTAAGCACTTTATAAGCACACAGACCAGCAATTAGTGACAGCTCTTCAAGTTATCTATACCGTAGTTTAGTACAAACAATTTTTGAAAGGGACTATTACTTATAGTCCCTAATGAATGGCACTTAAATGTAAAAGATACTAATGTGAATTGTGCTTTGCTTTAGACTTTATTGCTGAACAAGGAATGCTTCAAAAGACAAAGTGTAGGGAAACACTGTCTAGTGGGAGGCAGGTTTCATTCTGGTGATTGGTGGATTAATAAAAAATTTAAAAATAAATCTACCATTTTGTTCCATTCTGAAATGACACATGGCAATAAACTCACCAACATAAAAACTGCCAATATACTGCAATCACAGAATCACCAGTATAAAATGTTCTAGTTGTTTTCAATGTACATGTATAATGGTAGCAAGGGCATCCTCAGTAAAAGGGTAGGGACTAGTCTAGGGAAGGAAAACCAGCAAAGCAGCAGAAGCTGGGAAATCTGTTCTTGATAGAACTACATGCTCTATTTAATGAAAGTTGGAAACAGTTAAACCCTGCTCAAAGAATCTCTGAATTTGCACACTAGAATGATGCATCTGTATGCCTGATTTTGGAGCAACTTTAAAATCATGTAACGTATAGTCTGTCTGATATTCTATTAATGAGACAGGTTTACAACAGCATTCATTAATGATATTCATAGTTTAGTGCAACCCACAATAATTATTATGAACAGGTCAATGCACCAGTATAACAATATCAATTGCAATTGTGCCCCTTCATAGGGAATTTTTAATAATAATAATAATAATAATAATAATAATAATAATAATAATAATAATAATAATAATAATAATACAACCTTAAGCATCAATACAGAGTAACATTGAAATACTTAGAAATATGACAATACACTGAATTATGCATGTAAAATCAGTATGCAAGAAATAATAATAATTAACAAATGCAAAGAATACTGTACACTTACATGCATGTATAAACTATAAATACTCTAATCCTATGTACAGTAGATCACAAATGGACATTAACAATTTAACATGCAATACAAAAAAGATTTATGTACTTCTCAAGCAGTACAAAATACTAAAATTGGCCCATTCATTATAGGGAATTTTGAAAGGTAAACCCCAATATGTATGTACTATGTAGTATTCCATCAAAATAGCTGGGCCATTTTATTACATTTCCTATGTATTATACATGTACTGATGTTGTATAGAAATTTTGAACTAATTTTGATCAAAATTAGATATCTTTGGAAAATTTTTGCAGTTAATCTAGTATTTATAAAAACTATTTCTCTGCTATCAATTAGTTCTTTCCTTTCTTACTATTGAGAGCTACTTCAAACTATTAATTGCTAATTTTGCTAATGCCTATATTTATCCCAGCATATTGTTACTATGCTGGAATAATTCAGTGGGGCAAGCCTAAACAGCATTTGACACATGATAAGCTACTGGTACACTAGAAGAATGTAAAACATTAAGGGGCTAGCAAGACTACAAGTTGTGCTGTATGACATACAGGTTACATGAGAGAGCAAAGCATTATTGAACATGTATTACAGTAGATGTTGAATTCTTGATGTAGTTATCTAGATTAGAAATATTAATTTTTCCATCAGTTCATCACATTGTGCAGCAATTACAGTTATCCTGCTAATAGCATAAAAGATACATTGGAGATAGGAGTCACTGCATGCAGTCATAATGCAGGCTTTAAGAGATAGTTCAGTTAAGGGTGTCATTTTACATAAGAATTATTGGCGTCAATAAAGAACATTTTGTTAACCTTCCTTGTTGCTAGAGAAGAAGGCCAATTTACACTAAAAAATCATAAGGTA